CTCTCTCTCTCTCTCTCTCTCTCTCTCTCTCCCTCCCTCCCTCTCTCTCTTTCTTTTTTATCTATCTTTCCGTTTATTGATATTTTCTTTTTGCAATGAGGCCTTGTCCATCTCTTTAAAAAAAACATATTCAAATATATTCCACTGGACGGATTCACACGCTTGCATGACATCAACATATGTTTGCTTATGTATGCAATGCATTTTTGCAATTTATGTTTTTCTATGGCTCTGTCATTTCCAATAAACTGTAACGTATTTTTGTCTCAGTATATCAATGACATTTTGTTTTGTCAATAAACATTTTTCTTTATTCATCGAATTTTGACAATGAATTCAGTTTCTTCTATCAATGACAGTGATTTTTTTCAGGCTCATTTAATTTATTAATATCTATTTATTAATATCTATGTTTTTTTTTAAATATCAGTCCGCTTTTTTCTATCCATGACTGTGAATGTTTTACTATTACTTTTCTCTTCTCCATAGCACTGTTTTTTTACTATTTATTTATTTATTTCTCTTCAATGAATTCTGACAACCAATTGTTTTTGCGTGGCAGTTATTTTTTTTTCTATTTTAATTCATGACAGTGGATGTTATCTCTTTAAGTTCATCTCCCGCTAATACCTCTTTTTGTTCTTTATCATAATTATTCCACCTCCCACTAATGCCATTTTTTTTCATTTTCTTTATTATAATCATTTTCATAAGGCCTAATCTTCTTTTTTCTTTATTATAATAATTTTCATATGGCCTAATCTTCTTTTTTCTTATTATATCAATTTTCATATGCCCTAATCTGCTTTTTTTTTCTTTATTACGATTATCTTTGGCTTAATCTGCTTTTTTCTTTATTATAATCATTTTCATATGGCCTAATCTCCTTTTTTCTTTATTATAATCATTTTCATATGGCCTAATCTCTTTTTTTACTTTATTACGATTATCTTTGGCTTAATCTGCTTTTTTTTCTTTATCATAATAATTTTCACATGACCTAATCTCCTTTTTTTCTTTATCATGATTATCTTTGGCTTAATCTACCTGTATTCATTGCATCATTTGACCTAATCTCCTTTTTTTCTTTTTAATTATGATTATATTTGGCTTAATCTGCGTGTATTCTTTATTATAATTATCTTCATACGGCCTAATCTCCTTTTTTTTTCTTCTTTATTACGATTATCTTTGACTTAATCTGCGTGTATCTTTTTTGCAAGACGAGACGGCCCTGTTCTTGGCGGCCCAGCGAGGGTTTGTGCAGCTCGTCCGCCTCCTCCTGGACCACGACGCTGAGCCCGACGTCGTCACGAAGCAGGGTAAGGTTGACGAGGAAGGGGGGCAGTGGTGACGTCACGAAGCAGGGTAAGGTGTCTGTTGAGGTAGGAGGGGGTGGGAGGGCTGCGATGAGTCACTAACAGGGGAAGGTTGAGGAGGAAGAGGCAGTGGTGACGTCACTAAGCAGGGTGAGGTGTCTGTTGAGGTAGGGAGAGAGGTGGGAGGGCTGCGATGACGTCATTAACAGGGGAAGGTTGAGGAGGAAGGGGGCAGTGATGACGTCACTGACAGGGTAAGGTGTCTGTTGAGGAAGGGAGGGAGGTGGGAGGGCTGCGATGACGTCACAGGGTAAGGTTGAGGAGGAGGGGGGCAGTGGTGACGTCACTGACAGGGTAAGGTGTCTGTTGGGGAGGAAGGGAGGGAGGTAGGGGCTGGATGACGTCACGAAGCAGGGTAAGGTTGAGGAGGAAGGGAGAGGGGCAGCGATGACGTCACTGACAGGGTAAGGTGACTGTTGGGAAGGAAGGGAGAGAGGTGGGGGGGGGCAGCGATGACGTCACGAAGCAGGGTAAGGTTGAGGAGGAAGGGAGAGGGGCAGTGGTGACGTCACGAACAGGGTAGAGGGGCTGCGATGACGTCATGAACAGGGTAAGGTGACTGTTGAGGTAGGGAGAGAGGTGGGGGGCTGCGATGACGTCATTAATAGGGTAAGGTGTCTGTTGGGGAGGAAGGGAGGGAGGTGGGGCTCGACGTCGTCACGAAGCAGGGTAAGGTTGAGGAGGAAGGGAGAGGGGCAGTGATGACGTCACTAATAGGGTAAGGTGACTGTTGAGGAGGAAGACGGGCAGTGGTGACGTCATGAAAAGGGTAGAGGGGCTGCGATAACGTCATTAACAGGGTAAGGACTGTTGGGGAAGGAGGAGGAAGAGGGCTGTGACGTCATTAACAGGGAAGGTGTCTGTTGGGAAGCAGATTTCTTATCGCATTTTGAGACATTCCAGAATAGCGGATTTATGTATATGTTTCTGTCTCTCCCTCTTTCTTTCATTCGTCTTCTATCTCTCTCTTCGTTCTCTCTCTCTTCATATCATTCTCCCCTTTTTCTCTTTCTATCTCTCTGTTCTCTCTCTGTCTTCTCTCTCTTCTCTCTCTTGCCTGTCTGTCTGTCTGTCTCTCTCTCTCTCTCTCTCTCTCTCTGTCTGTCTGTCTGTCTCTCTCTTCTCTCTCTCTCTCTCTTCTCTCTCTCTCTCTCTCTCTCTCTCTCTCTCTCTCTCTCTCTCTCTCTCTCTCTCTATCTCTCTTCTCTCTCTCTCTCTCTCTCTCTCCTCTCTCTCTCTCCCTACCTCTCTCTCCTATCTTCTCTCTCTCTCCGCTTCCCTCCTCTCTCTCTTCTCTCTCTCTCTCTCTCTCTCTCTCTCTCCTCTCTCTCTCTCTCTCTCTCTCTCTCTCTCTCTCTCTCTCTCCTCTCTCTCTCTCTCTCTCTCTCTCTCTTCTTCTCTCTCTCTCTTCTCTTCTCTCCTTCTCTCTCTCTCCACTCTCTCGCTCTCTCTCTCTCATTCTCTCTCTCCTTTTTTTAATATTTTTCATTTTTCATTTATCTTTTTATATATCTTTTTTTTTATTTCTGTGTTATCCATGCAATTTCATCTGGTATGTCTATATGTAGTTATCTTTTTCTACCGCAAGAGAGGGTCACGTGACAAAATAAAGGTCACGTGACAATTTCCCGCCATTGATGCCGGTATTTGAATCAGCAAACACCGGACTCTTTTTTGCTCTTTATTTATACATCTGTTGCAGCCAAATTCCTTGTCTCGCTCCACTTCTAGTCCACTTTTACTCACGTTCGACTTTTTCGTTCCACTTCCACCCTTCTTCCACTTCCCCTTATCTCTATTTATGCTTTTTCATCAATTTTGATGTCATTCCGTTTCTATTCTTGATTCACGTCCACTTTCCCTCCACTCCCATCCTATATCAACTCTCAGCCTCCCTCCGAGTTCTCCCACCTTACACATCCACCTTACCCTCCACTTTTTCCACCCCCCTCCACTCCCACTCTCAGCATACCACTCCTCCCTCCACATCCACCCTTCCACCTCTCCTGCCCTACCTCCACCACTCCCCACCCTCCCTCAACATCCACATCTCTCTCCACTCCCACCTTCCCTCCACATCCACCCTCCCTCTACCCCCCTCTCCACCCTCCCTCACCCTCCACCTCCACATCCACCCCACCACCCCTTCCACCCACCCACCCCCACCCTCCCATCCCCCCACCCTCCACCCCTTTCCACCCCCACCACCTCCACATCCACCTCTCCCTCCACCTCATCCACCCTCTGACGGCGAATTCTTCCACCCAGGATTCACGGCGCTCCTCTACGCCACGTGAACAGGCACTTGGAGGTGGAGGCGCTGCTGGAGGTGGGGCGGACCCGAACTTCCAGACGCCCACAAGTAGTAGGTAGAATGGATGAGATTTTTATCTATTTATTTTATTTATTTATTTATTTATTCTTATTTTTTTATTTTTCTTCTTTATTTCTTTATTTTTAATTTTGTATTTTATTTTCTTTATTTATCATTTTTTTTTCATTCTTATTCTATTTCTATATCTTTATTTCTTTATTTGGCTTTGATGTTTTTCTTTCTTTCTTTGTTTCTTTTTTTTATTTTTTTATTCATTTATTTATTATTTTTTTTTTTTGTGTTCTTTCTTTTATTTTTTCATTTTATTTTTGTTTTGTTTTTACTTTGATGGATATTTCTTTCTCTCTTTTATTTTTGGTTTAGATTTTCTGTTATTTTTACTTAGGATTTTTTTTACTTTGGTAGTTCTCTCTCTTTTTTCTTTATTTTTTTTATCATTTCTTTTTATATCGATGGTAACCTTTTATCATATATCTTTTTTTTAGTTTAATGGTTTATATTTCATATTTGTATGTTTATATTTAGGAAGGTAAACAGATATATAGATAGATGGATAGAATATACTGATAGACCATGTACTGATAGACAGACTGATAGATGGATATGGATAGATAGTTTGATTGATGGATAAAGAGGTATAATGAATGATAGATAGGTATGGATAGACAGAAAGATTGATAGATAGATAAAGAGATATAGATAGATAGATAGATAAACAGATATAGATAGATAGATAGATAGATAGATAAACAGATATAGATAGATAGATAGATAGACAGATATTGATAGATATATACAGATATAGATAGATAGATAATAGATATAGATTGATAAATAGATAAATAGATATAGATAGGTAAGTAGATATAAATAGATAGAATAACAGAAATAGATAAAAAGATTTCACAATCCAGAAAAAAATATTGTTTTATATCACGACACACATCCCCCCCGTCCGAAAAAAATGTAATAATGATAACAATGATAACAACAACAATGATAATGATAATGATAATAATGGTCATAGTCAAAAATAATAGTAACAGTAATAATGATGATAATAATGATAATGATAATAATAAGAAAAGGAAGAACAACAACTACCAAGACAAAAAAAAAAAAAATATTCTTCACATTCTAGAAAACCAAAACAAAAAAATAATACTGCCTCACACCACGACACCCATACCCCCCCATCCCCCTATCCCCCATCCCCGCCCATCCCCACCCCTGTCCTACAAAACGTCCATCCCCCATCCCCCCATCCCCCCGTCCCATCCCCCTCC